CCCCGCCCCCCCCCCCCGCGCACCGGGCCCCGGAGACGCCGGCTGCTTTTATACTCGGAGCAAAGACTGAGCAAGACTGCCCCACCCGGACGCTGCAAATTGAGATCAAATGCAATTTTCAATTATCGAAATAACAACAAAAGACCCTTCGGACAAATCAACTTGGAAGTGAGAGGGGACCCACCTCCCTCTTTGACGCCTGGCGCAGTGCAGAGTGCGGTGCGATGGGCGCTTTGATGGCTGCTGCTTCGGCGAACGGCTCCTTTGCTTCCTTGCTGCTGATGATGCTTCAGAGGGAGAGGGGGTGATGACGTGGAGGGGCATCCGGGGCGATCGGACTAGGGATGATGGCGATGACAAGGATGGTCAAAGTGGCTGTCTCCTCGTCTCCGTTACCATCCACCGCCTCCAGCTACAGAGCCACAGAGGGGGGCCATCGCGCGCGATCATCCATCTCCATCATCCCGTACACTCATCCCGCACGCCCGATCCTCCATTGCGTCGACACCCATCCCACCAAGGCACCACCAGCGTCCATGTCCGGCCCTCCGTTCCCGGACACCCGGGGAGTACCCCCAAAGTCCATGTCCAGAGGGTCTCTTGTCCATGTCCGGCGCAGCCTTCTCCTCTCTCTCTCCGATCAAAGAAAACAACGATTTGTGTCTGTCTGGCAAAGTCTCTTCGGAGGATTTCGTGTTTGAGATCTGGGAGCTGGGAGCTGGGAGCTGGGAGCTGGGAGCAAATCGCACAGAGCTGAGTTTGACTGTTTGAGAGAGACCTCTCTGGGGCTGCGGGGTGAAAGGCAAATGGCCTCTCTCCCAGTTTCCTGTTTTGGACGACCCAGGGCACTCCGTCCGTGGCTTTCCTCCCCTCAATCGATATCTTTCTCCCAATCTTTCTTTTGCGTGCGCAAGCTGACACCGACACCGCACACCGGTTGAACTGGTTTGCAGCAGGAAGATGCGGGGTCCTTGGGGGCTCTCTCCTTGGGACTCCTTCATACGTCGTCGGAGTGTGAAGTTTGGTGTGACGTGGGCACAGATTAGAAGGGGATTCAAACTCCGAAAATTGTTTTCCGTCGCCGAGACGGCGAGAGCCACGCATGAAAAAAAGGGAACCCCTTCCTCGTGAAGCTCGCCTGACTGGACGCCCCACGCCTCCGACCTGACCCGACGCACACAACGTTTCCCCCCTCAAACCTGAACCAAGAGTCCAAGATGCGGAGACCTGCAAAGCAGCCGAGGCCCATTCGCTTCTGAAGAAACTTTTCGACGCGTGGTGCCTTTGTGCGCGCGGGGGATCATCCTTTTTTTATTTGCACCCGCCGCCCCTTTCTCCCTCGGGCAGTCGGGCCCTCGGCGAGTAAAGCGGAGGCGCTCTCGCCTGCCAAGTTTTTTTTTTTTTTTTTTTTTTTGCCATCCAACGAGTCTCAACCCAGCTCCCTTCCACGACAGCCAAGACCCCCGAGCCTTTTCCGATTCGCAATTGCCGTAGCGACGGAATCCGACAGACGTCAGCGTTGGGTCATTATTGATAAAAAGGCATGGGTGTTTGGGATGGCGCCGTTTGCGAAGCCGACGGGGCCGGGTGAACTGTCAGACCGCCCGAGGTGGGGGCGCCCAGGACCGGAGTGAATGTGCTTTGTTTTGGGAGGGACCAGCGGTGCTGGGTGGGCAAGAGTTGGGACACTGAGGTGACTGCAGTGAAGGAATGTTGACTTGCGAGCGCAACGGGGAGCTTCTGGATGGGACTCTGCAATGGACGAAGGACTTGCCGCCCGTAACGCCTCTATCCGATGCTACCGTTCGGATGCCGCCGCGAATCGGATGTAATGAAAGCTGATTGGTGGATCCAACTCATTACCCGTTAAATGTTCGGATGACTCCTCAAATCGGATGTCATGAAGTGCAAGCTGATTGGTGGATCCAACTTACTTGTCGCTTTGCAAATAATGTTCTTGCGGTTTCCATCCGCTACAACAGCAGAAAGCAACCGACCATAGCTCAGATGGTAGAGCACCAGACTGTAACGGATAACGGATAACGGGTAACATCCGTATTCGAAGCCTCGATATCTGGTTGTCCCCGGTTCGATCCCGGGTGGTCGGATTTTCCCTTTTTTGCCGAGTTCTCGGTTCAACCCCCGGCCAGTATTTTTTGCTCGATGGGGATGTTGGAGGTAGAAAAAGAGCTGGTTTTCGTCATCCATTTGGTCAACCGGTCATTACCCGTTTGACGCGTATGCTCACCCGTTTCCCGGGGGATGAGATGTGTACCCGACCAAATTTTAATGGATACCGAGCATTAACCGGTTAACCGGCTAAACATTACCCGAATGGATTCCAAGCATTTCCCGGTCAGTCGGCCAACCACGGGTTATGATTGACGCCAGCTCTTGAGGGACCAAATTGGTAGTAACAAGCCGTTTGTTTGCACTGGGTGGAAAGGGACTCTAAGCGCCTTCCGTCGATACTCAGCCATTCACCTGAATGGGCTCCGTCCGTCAGCCCTCAAATCTTTTTCTCCAAGGTTGCTGCTGACAGACACAAGGTCCGAGGCTACCGTTCAACGGAACACCACCGCCATCGATCCTCCATCTCCGTCGTCCCCAACCATCGTCGTCATGCAGCAGCAGGAGCATCCCTATTCACAGCAACCTCCGCTGCAGTATCCTCCGCCGTCAGCCCAACTGCATCACCAACACCTTCCACAGCAACAGCAGATGCAGCAGCAGCAAATGTCGACAAAGTTCACTCCCTCCGCCGATGCACAGCGTCTGTAGTCCTTCTCCCTCCTTTCCAGAGTCTCACCCTTTTTTATCCATCCAGCCCAAGGATCATGGCAGCAGCACCAGATGGGAGAAGACGCCAAAGCAGCTGCGGGAGGATGCTGCGCCATCACATGCGCGTCCCTTGTTGCCTCTTGCGCTGTCTGCTGTATCTGCGGTATGTTATATTTCAAAGCAAATCGATATGATGCTGATGCTATTTGTTACCTCCAACCTTTTAGATTGCACGGACTGAGGCATTACCCACGACAAGAATCAGATGGTCGGAACATGGACCTCCGCACGAACAAAGCTCCTATGCATCGGAATAATCGGATCACCCATCTCTATCCCCTATATCCCTCTCTCCTTCCCCTGGATTCCCCCCTCTCTTCCCTGTTGATGTATGATTTTCAATGACACTGTAAATGTAGAATGATATCGAGTACGGATCAACCAACGATCCCAAATACAACCCGCTGCAACTACCATTTTTTTCATTCCTTTCGGATATATGACCAGCATCCAACCCCCCTGCGCTCCCTCGCATCCCCACCGCTCAGGCTGAGGTCGTCCCTCTCGTTTGATGTGACAACCTCACCTTGCAAGTCACGTGACGCAAGCTCTTTCAATCGACGCCACCGAATCCATCGCGTTGACGAGTGTTTTGATATATGCCATGAAAGATAATGGCCAGCACTCAAAAGGATGAACCCCCCAACAGAGAGAATATCCCATTCATCTCCCCGCCGCGTCCGCCTGCCCCACAAACACGAGGCACAACCCCGCCACCAACAGCAAATCCAGCGGCGCCTCCCTCTCCAACACCTCCGCAATCGACACCGTGCACGCCACCTTGGTCTCCCTCACGCTCCGCCGCACCGTCATCTTCCCCCCCGCATCCCCCACCAGCTCCTGCCGCCTGTGCGACGAGCATTTCCGCACCACCACGAACCGACCCGCCCGGAGGTCACCTGCCAGCGAGAACCTGATGTGCGGCGACAACGATGGCGACGCTGCGGGGTCCACTGGGTGTGTCGACAGCCGCGACCGCGCGGGCGACCCTGCCACCGCTGCCGCTGCGCCGTCGCGCCGCAGTTCCTCGAGGAACGAGCGGTGCCGCGGCGACGGCGTGTCGGGAGCCGTGTGCGCCGCGAGGGACGGCGGGAGCTTGTGGGAAGGGAAGAGCGCTTTGAGAGGCCGCGACTCGGCGAGGAGCTTTAGCGGGCTGTCAAAGTGGAGTGTGCCAATGGGTTTGGGGGGGAGGGGACCTGCCGGCGCTACGGGGAGGTCGGAGGCAGCGTAGGCTGAGGCGCCGTCGAGTGTCACGGTGTAGCGGTGGGGGTTGGCGAATTCGGGGAAGATGCGGAGGGTGTTGAGGGAGATGGTGCGGGGACGGAGGTCTTTGATCACGAGGGTCCTAACAAGACAACTTAGAGTTAGTTCTGTGGCATTTGCAAGGGCAGCGCCTTACCTTTTCTTCTGCCATGCCTTCATGTCCACCTCAAACACCTTCCCAAACCACCCCGGCATCCCCACCTCCAAGTCCTTCACCCTGCTCCCAACCATCGACATCACGAACGTATACTCAACACGCAATCCCATCCCCTCTGGCATCCATGGCGACACCGCGCGCGCCGTCGGCGACTCCCTCCCTCCGACCCGTGCCTCGCCCGCCACGCCCACCCCGCCCTGGGTCTCTGTGTCCCGCCCATGCGACGACGCCGACACCGTCGGAGGCGCAGGCTTGGCCCGCTTCACCACCGACGTGTCCACCCGCAAACCGTTTGACCCCCGTCGCGGAACCGTCCCCTGCCCTACTCCCGTCTCACGGTCCGACAGCACCGACGACAGCAGCGACGCCCGTGTGAACCCCCCCGGTCCCACAAACACACTCCCGCCCCCCACGGTTCCCGTTGACCCCCGCCGCGCATCGGCCACCGCCGCCGCCGTGCCGCCCCCTATGCCCGCGTCACGGCTCGGTCGCCGTGGCCCGAAATAGTTGACCGCCGACAGGGACGACAGCGCGGCATCGAGGTCCAACCGTGGCCCAAAGTCCAGCGGGACCTGAAGCAGCGGCGGGGGAGAGGGGGATGGACGGGTTGGGAAGAAGGGGCTACGCTTGCGGTTGGTGGGGTGAGCGCTGGCAGGAGGTGGGGGGCCGAGGATGGACGCCATGGGCTCCAGTGGGATTGAGATGCTGTGGCGGGATTGTTATATATAAGGTTTGGGGGGGGGGTACACATACCGCTCGAGAGAGGTTTCACTGAGGTTTTGGAGGGCACGCGTGCCGAGCATGATTACGGCCTGCATCTTGACGCTACGGTGGGTTTCGGGGTTGCCTGGTCCAAAAAAAAACGCATTAGCAACCTCTCCTCTCCAGAAACGCGCAAAGGCTCACCCTCTGGCGACGCTTTCGATCCGTCCGAGTCCGCGGACCGCGGCCGCCGGCCACCCGATCCCTCCACCGGGAAATCCTGTCCGAGCTGGATGGCATCCCCCGTATGCAGCACAAAGCACGGCGACGCCAGCTTGGACGGACTCAGTCGCTTGCCGTTCACGAACGTGCCGCTCTTGGACCCGAGGTCGCGGATGTACACCACATCCTCCTCAATAAAGATCTCGGCGTGGTTCCGGCTCACCACCAAGCTCGAGAATGGCACAAACACCCCACCCGACGACGCCAAGTCGTCGCGCCCGCGCCCTAACCGGTTCACGTGGAACAGGTCGAGCCGGAGCGTCTCAGCGAACGAGCCGTCCACCGGGATCAGCAGGCACGATGTGAACGTGGGTGCCGCTGGCGTCGTCGGAACCGGCGTCGTGGGAGAGGCCTCGGCCACGGGCGACGGGAGGGATGGGCTGCGGGAGCCGTCGGGTGCGCGTACGATCGTGCCTTGGTCCGACACGGACGTGCGGTCCGCTGAGCCATCGGACGCTGGGCTGGTGAGGCTGCGGCGGGAAGGGTCGGGGTCCGGTGGGGCAAGCGAGGCGGTGATGTCGGTTACTGGCGGGAGCGGCGGAAGCGGGGGAAGTGACTGCTTTGGCGGCGGGGCTGGGGCACTTTCTGGCCCACTCGGCACGTTCTCGGCGACCGCACGTGCGAGCTGTTCAAAAATGCGGTGAGAGTCCTTCCCGTCCGCGTCGTCTGGCCCGGGTGAGACGGCATCCGATCCGATGCTGGAGACCGACGTCCGCTTGACGGCGACGATCGTATCGTCTTCGAGTGGCGGCCTCGATGCGGGGAAGTAGGGTGACGGAGGTGTCGCTGGGCTGGTGGGGGACCGGCGAAAGCCGCCGCCGCCTCCCTCAATTAGCACGCCACCGCGCGCTTGCTGCCGCTCCTCCATTTTGCTTTTGGCCGCGTCCCATGCGCGCGAATGGAAGACGTTCCCGTCGTCCTCCCCTTCATCCTCAGAATCAGTGTACAAACTCTCTCGCAACCCGCGGCGGCGGCGGTGCCCCACACCATCCTCATCAAAGTCCTCGTCGGCGGAATCTGCGAACGAGTCGTCGTCCTCGCTCGACAAGTCCTCGAGCGACACCGAAATCTGCAACGGATGGAAGATCACACCCGGCGCGGCCTGCTTCGGCGTCAAGGACATGTACCGTCGGAACCTCCCCTCGCCTTCCAGGAACCCCGCTGGCCGCAGTTCCGGGTACGACGAGGCGGACTTGAGCGGCGGCACCACCGCCGCCGAGTCGCCGTCCTCGAGCGCCAAACTCCGCGGCGTGTACAGTTCCGAATTGTACCTCGACCCCCCCGCCTCGTGCTCCGCCGAGAACCCTCTGCCGGACCCCACCGGCGTGTTGCCCGGCGTATCGAACGCCCCTGCCGCCCCCGCTGCCGCCCGTAGCACACTTCCGCCCTCTAGGCTGTCGCTCCGGGCGGGGATCGAAGACAGGAAAGGCCCACCATGCCGCTCGGCCACAGGCATCCCCCACCCGGCGTTCGCTGCGTGGAACGACGAAAGCATCTCGGATACCAACATCGAGCCCGGGTCATCTGCCGGCATGACCTCGATCCCGTCACCGTCTGCGAACGCCTGACGTGGTGGGTCCGGTGGCGCCACGGCGGCCGGCGACGCGTCTGTCCCTGCGGATCCGAGCGACGTTGCGGGCGAGGACAGAGGTGGGTCGGTTGACGGCTTGCGCGAACCACCCCCGACGGGCGTCATCCCTGTCGGCGAAGAGAATAGCGACGACGCGGGGGATGTTGGTGACGGAGCGTACCCGGCGTCAAGACGGGCGGGGAGGAGTGCTTCACGCGATAGCGCGGCGGCGCCGGCGTGGAAACGCTGCATCCAGGCTTCGAAGGCTGCCGAGGCTACCGCGGCGCCGCGTT